GGGGGGGGGGGAGCACACGTTGTCTACCGCACGCGTCTGGGGCGTACGAGCGGGGTCCCCGCGCCGGCGCGGGGCCGAGAGGCCCGCCCGGCCTGGTACAGGAGGGGGCGAGGTTGTCCGGAGCCGTGGGTGCGGGGGAGCCCAGCCGCCCAGCCCCGGGGCTCGGAACTTGGGGGGGGGGGGCGGGCCCGACAACCTCATACCCATAGTGTGGGGTGCGAGAGGACGCGCGCCGCGAAGGCGGGGAGCGCGCGTCTTCGAACCGGCAGGGGGAAAACCTTCCCCACGGGAGTGGGGCGGACGCGCGCGCACGCGCGCATGTGCGTCCCCGGGGTCTTCGGCGCCCATGCCGCCCGCCGGCCCGGCATACATGCGCACGCAGAGGCGTCCAGACGTGCACGGCATGCGTTGTGGGGGGGGTGCGCCGGCGGGTGGCGGCCGGCGTGTCCGGGAGGGGGGGGGGGCGGGCGACCACGCGCCGGACATTTGCGGGGCCCCCCGCAGGCACTACGACGACACGCCCACTCCTCGGGACCGCCCGGCGGCCCCGGCCCCGGCCAGGCACCGGAGGGGCCCCCCCCGATCGCCGGGGCATCGCCCGCCCGACGGCCGCAGCCGCCCTGAGAACGTCTCCGCACGCTGCTCCCAGCCCGCCGCCGGGAAGGGGGGACGACGACAAGCGGGCGCGCCACGTCGCCAACTCCGGCCCCGGCGCAGTTACACGGTTTCACCTAGAGTAGTACCAGGAGGGAGGGGCGCTGCCTGGGGGGAGAGGCCACGCCGGCCTTTCCATGCCCCAGGCCCGTGCCCGAAGGAGCAGCGGGAGCCGCCGGCAGAGGGTCCCCTCGGCCCGGGGGGGGGGGGGGGGGGGGGGGGGCGCAGGCCATTTTCCCACACGCATCAGCCCGATCCGAGAGGCGGCCAGCGGCCCCCCTGGGTCGCCGCCTCACGGGCAGCCGCCTGTGCTGGCTCGCCGCCCCCTCTCCCCGGGATGGGTGCAGGCGGACTCGCGCCGTGCCTCGTTTCGGACCCGGCGAACACGCGCCGCAGAGCCCCGCCAGGGCAGATTGCCCGTCCGCGCGCGGGCAGCAAGGAAAAACCGGCCGGCGGCCGCGGGCAACACACCCCGGCCCAGGCCGGGGGCGTCAAGATGCGCCGGGCTGGCGCACAGCGCCCCGGGTCCCGTGCGTCCGGGTCCCTCGCGTGACACGCAGTTCTGATGGAGCGTGCCCACGAATCGCGCCCAGCTGCCGGCGATCCGGCGCGAGGGCGCCCGGCACCGCGCGCGCGCGCGCCTCCTGCTGCTCCCGCACGGAAGCAGGGGCGCGAGGGTGGGGGCCATCGGCAAAAGAGAGAGAGAGGCGGAAAGCCCGGTCGGCGAGCCCCCCCCCCCCGGGGGCCGATGATGTGCGCCGGGGCTGTTGACGCCGGCATCGCCAGCCTGTTCCGGCTGGCCGGTGTGTCGGCCCCCGCGCTCGGCTCCTCCTGCAGAGACTGTCCTTGCAGGCGGGCCGGGGGGGGGCGGGAGCTGGATGCACTTCGCGCCCGGCATGATCGGGCCCGCGAGGCGCGCGGGTGCGTCTGTCTGCGGGTGTTTGCCGGTGGATGCGCGGCCATCACCCTCCGGGAGTCCAGCCGAGTTTAGGTCCTCCGGATTTTCCGCATCGGGCGCCCCACCGGCCCGGAGATTTCTCCCCCCCCCCCCCCCCCCCCCCCCCCTGAAGGCGGCCAAAGAATGGGCCTTGTTCTGGCGGACTTCTCCGAAGAGAGGGCGCGGGATGAGTCCGCAGGTCCCCCCCGCCCGGCGCCCAGCGGTGCTCTCGCGCTCTGCTGGCCCTGTGATGCACACACGTACCCTCCGGGGCCGAGCGAGCAGAGGGGAGTCCGGCCGGCCAGCCAGCCAGCCAGCGGGGGGGGGGCCGGGGGGCAAGGAAGCCCCCAAAAAGGCCAAAAGAAAATAAGCCATCACAGGCCAATAATATATCGGCGTATTCATCTTCTGCCGCGCCCACACACGCCCAAGGATGATCTCATCTTGCGGGGCGGCTCTGCTGTTATTGTTTTCCGGCCCTTCCCCCCTCGGCCTCGGAGCCTGGGGGGGGGGGGGGCAGGGCGGCGACAACGGCGGCGGCCGCACCGGCGTGGTGGATTAATCCTGCCTGCCCGCCGGCCGGTGCCCCGGCGCGGCCGGGCGCCCGGCCGCGCCGGGGCAACCCTCGCCGACGGACGTGTCATTCCCCCCCACCCCCGGCGTCTGGCGCGCCCCACCCCTTGTGAGCGCCGAGGCGCGTCCCGCGGGCGGGAGGCCGTGCATGCACGCGGGCCCCCCCCCCCCCGGCCCGGCCCGGCCCGGCCCGGCCCGGCCCCAAAGCCCCACCCCCACCGCGGGGGGCCTAATTCCCGGAGGAAGGATGGCGAAGGGCCATCGTGGGATGTGTGTGCGGGTGCGCGCGCCCGGCGGCCGCCCACACCAGCCCGGCCTCTGCAGGCCCAGCCCGGTAGGGGAAGGACCCCGGGCCCCGCGGTCGCGGGGCATTCCGTTGTTATTTTCCCCCGCCAGGCGCATGCGCGCGCGCGCGCGCGCGTTCCCCCTCCCAAGGCAAGGCCCTCGCCGCCTGCCCGGGGGCCGGGCGGCCGGCCGGAGCGGCGGGGGCCGGGGGGAGGGCCCGCCTCGCGCCCTCCCCACCGGCGTCAGCACCCGGCCGTTGTTGATCTGCCAGCGTGCCGATCGCCCGGCGCCCGGCGCCAATGGGGCACCCCCCCTCTCCCACGCCTGCCCCCCTCCCCCCCCCCCCCCCGTACGGCGACCTCGCCCTCGCCCCTGTCCCAGCTCCCCTCCTTGTCTCTGCTGCTGCACTCCCCTCCCCTCCCTCTCTCTCCCTCCTCCCTCCTTGGTGCTGACCCCCACCTCGCCGACCCCTCTCCACCCTCGCCTCCGGTCACCACCTAGCCCCCTTTGTGTGTCCCGCCGCCGTTCGAGCCGCCCCGCGTTCGAGCCGCCCCGCCGCCTGCCCGCAGCCCCCCCCCCCCCACCCCGCCCACCATGGACGCCCCACCCCTCTTCGGCGAGGAGTCTCGCAAGGAGAAATGGTTCCAGTACCTGGCCATCGGTGCCCTGACTGCCAGCACCCTGGTGCGTGCATGCGCCACTGCTCCGGCTGCCGCCCGGCCGCCCGCGCGTGCCCGCTCGGCGGCGGCGGCGGCATGGACACCGGCCCACGCGCCGCCCGCTCTCTAACCTTGCGCATCATCTCCCGCACGCGCACGCGCACGCGCACGCACAGGCCGCCTTCATCATGTCCATCACCAGCGGCATCTCGCAGAATGGCATCCACTTTGGTCTTGGTATCGGCCTCCTGGCCTTCCTGGCGCTGGTCCTGCTCCTGTGGCGCTGGTACCGCGCCGGTGATCTGGACCCCAAGTTCAAGTACTTCATCGCGGTCTTCTGGCTGGTGCAGCTGGTCATGGTCATCGTCGGGTTCATCTACTTCTCCTACAAGCCCACCGACTACAACGCCCTCTGGTGCGTGCCAGCCGGGCCTGTCCCGGCGCCGCTGCATGTGGCCTCTTGTGCTTGCCCCTGCTTGTCGCTCTGACCAGCGGACCGGTTCTTCCCCGTTCCCCCCTTGCCCCCCCCCCCCCCCCGCTCTCTTCACAGCCCGAACGGCTTCTGGTACCAGAATATCACTCTCCCCGACACCAAGGCCGCCCGGTGCTACAGCATGTGCAAGCCCGGCTTCTGCCTGGACACCAATGTCCCGGCCCCGGGCCGGTGCTACAACTGCACCCAGACCCCCCCGCCGAAGGGCTCCTTTGCCGGCGAGGCGGTCTACGTCTCCCCGGACCAGGACTTTGACACCCTGCTCAGCGACATCTAAGGGACACCACAGGGACGCGTGAAGGCGTGCGCATGTGTGCGCATGTGTGCGCATGTGTGTGTGTGTATGGCTGTGCGCGCGCGGGAGCCCAGGAGAGGGCAGGGCGGCATGTGCGCGTGTGTCTTTGAGCATGCGGCGGCCGCCGGGACCTGCTCTCATCTCCCCATGCCTCTCTCTCTCTCTCTCTCCCTCGGGGGCCAGACCTGCAGAGGAGAGGGGGCCGTAGGCATGTGTTCATCTTCCCTATATACTGCCGCCCATCAGAGGAGGACGGCCAGGGGCGCTTTTTGCCTCCTCCCCCCCCCCCCGCGGCCGCATCCCTTCACACACGGGCGCGCCACGCACCCATACGTGCCTACACACGCCCGCCCGCCCACATCCACATCGGTCACTTGCCCTGCTCCCTGCTGAGTGGGTGTCTGTGCGTGCCCGATGGCCTTCACACACGCGGTCGTCTTGCTCTCCTCCCCCCTCCCACCCAATGCCCTTGCCCCGACTCTCCACCTCATCACCGGGAGGAGCTCCCACAATACCCTCCTCCGGCCGGAGAGGGGGGGATCTTCTCACTCGCTTTTCCGGAGGCGCGGACGTCTCCCCTCTTCCCCGAGGGGGCGCCGCTTCTTGCCGTGTCTCCGCCCCCAGCACCCCCCTCCTCTCCCCTGCCCCGCAATACATCTTAAACGTACACAAGATCCTTCGGCAGGCCTTCACCATACTCTCGCATACATGCGTGCGTGTGTGTGCGCGCGCTATCGCCGATGCATGTCGCCCTGGCCGTGGCCCCGGGGGCGATGGGGGAAACGTCGTGGTGCCGGGCCAGCATTCGGGGGCAGTGGTGGTATTATTGTACAGGGGGGGAGGGGGGGAGGGGGGCGTCTATGGCGCGCATGCGGCTGGGAGGCGGGGGGATCCTTTTCCTCCAGCCGAGAGGAAGAGAGGGCGAAAGTCCGGCCAGGCCCCGCGCGCATCAGTTCCAGTGGGGCAGGGGCGCCTCGGCGAGGGGCGACCCACCGGGCGAGTCGTGCGCATGGGCCCCGAGCCCGGCCCCGGTGGAGATGATGAGTGGCGTGGCGCCGGTGCCCTCCGAGTGGGCATTGGCACTGGACAGGCTCGGCATGGGCCGCTGGGGCCCGCCGGCGCCCGGCTGCAGCAGGATCTCCTTGCGGAAGAGATTGTCCGCCAGCATGCGGTGCTCCACGCGGAAGAAGATCCAGATGCACCGGCGGAAGGACTCGATGGTCTGGAGAAGCAGGACACTGGTTGCCGCAGGGGGTGTTGCCGCCCGGCCACCCGGGGGGAGGGCCACTGGTTAGCTGGGTGCGAAAGTGCGGGGGGGGGGAAAAAAAGCCAGGCGGCGAGGGGGAGACCACCCTCCCCCGGTCGCCACGCTCGCCACGGAGGAAGGTCGGGGGCGCACCTGGCTTCGGGGAAGTCCTTGAAGGAGGTCGTCAGCCGGTAGGACCACGCGGCGCGCGCGGCAAAGTCGAAAGCCATGGCCATGTAATACATCCAGGGGTGCTATCATTGGGGGGGGGGGGGGGGGGGGAGTCAGACCTTGCCGGCATGGCTCGGGATGGCTGCGCGGCGGTGTGCATGCCTGTGTGCAGGCAC